CTCCGTCGATCCCTTGGCATTAAACCTTGCTCTAGCGGGCCCGGTGACGTCTCCAGTCCCTACGACGCCAGGGTTATCAAATGGGTTTTCTGCGCTGGCGGCCGCGGTAAACATTAGACCGTTCCTTCAGAGCTTTTATGCTTTTAGTCTCATGGTTGGTCATCGTCAAGGTTTTCGTTTGACATCCCATAGAATCCATTCTATAACATGGTTCAACGGCCATCTCCAAAACGCATGAAGTGCCCGGGCAACCTCTCGATCTTTGAAAACTTGAAGAGTGCGACTGCGGGCCTGATCCTCAATCGTCGAGACGGTGCAGACCTTCGGATTCCCGCTCTCACTTGCGTAGAGCACGGAATCACCTCCAGTAACGCTATTTTGATGGCCACCACAGCTTATCCTGCTTTCGCAAAGTAGCAGTGGCTGAGGCATAGTATAGGGCAGGAAGGACCGCAGAATTCAAGCGGCGGGCACAAAATCTTAGGCTCTTCGTCTTCTTCTACCCTGTTGATATTCCTGAATGCTCCGCGAGCACCTCTTTCTGCTCAGCTCTAGCGCTAGGTTGTTTATCACATTTCTGATGCGGACCCAGGTACACATGGCTAGATCATTCAGAGATGGTTGGTTCCGTTGAGCGAGAATGGGGCATCAGAAACCAATCCGTTTCCTCATGAACATCGTCTTCGACAAATTTGGCTGCAAACCGATTTTTTCACATGCGCAGCCGAAATCAGCCACCATTCGCTCTACTTGCCCAGTGTTTCATGTTACCAGAACTATATCATCAAAACCAGTAAAGCGCAGAAGAACCTATAGTCTATTACGCCGCGGGCGAAGGGACGTGTCAGGCGGTATGAATTTGGCGCGGTGCCAATCTCATACTCCATCAGTTGTTGAAGTGAAAAGGTGACGAAACTGTATAATATCGTCCTCTATCACTCGTTTTCTACCAACTATTGTCGCATACCCGCTTCAACAACTGGCAGAGAACGGGTTTGGCGCCGTGGCACACTCATGCTGCCACGCCCCTTTCAATCCAGCGAAGGTTTCTAGTAGTCGAAGAGGCTAGACTCGTTTATAGGTCTATCAATAAGTTATTTTTAAGGTACAGACCTCTTATAAAGTGTATGAGCACGCTTGAATGTTGATGTGTTCCGATAGTATTCTAGTGGATGATTGTTTAGATCAGTTACGATAAATTATGGTTTTGAGGCACGCTCCGCGTTCAGGAATGGTGACTTGTGCAGCTCAAAACTAATGACATGGAACTAAAACGTCGGAGAAATGGAAGGTAGAAAAAAGCCCCGCGGGAAATGCAGCATATAGAGCCCCACGAAGAATCGCGTTTGTCCGCGCTTAATTCGGAGAAAAAGCGTGATCGGAAGAGTTCTCACTCGTTCGGATCAGCTCTTTCTCTTAATCACCTCAGTCATCATGCGAAATGGTGAGAGCCGCTACCGCTCCATCGGGAAGCTTTCACAAATGGAAGTTTGGCGTTTCCGTGCCCATTGGGCGGGACCTTGGCCTCGTCGCAAGGGGGTAGCGCATTTCTCACGTATTTTTGAGCTGCGAAATAGTACACTCACCGTGTTTGCGGGCAGTACCAAAATGTCCAATTAAGATACTTGTGCACTGAATGAACGCGGAGCATGTCTTCAACGTATTGTTTCATTTGTGTTGCTTTCTTTTCCTTTGCTTTACTCTTTTTACGGAATGTAGCATAGATAAAGTACTACGTGTGTCTAACATTTAGATAAGATTGAGCCGAAAGCGGTTGACTTGGTTGCTCGGAAGCTGTCTTACATGCAAAGCGCGCCGGCCAGCATCCACACTTCACCGTCGCCAGGTACTTCTTCGAAACTCGTCATGGCCTACTCCTGGTCGATCTCATCGCTAACGGCGTTCAGAATCTTCAGGGCGAAGCTACTTTCCTTCGTTGCTGAGTTTTTTTGAATAAGTTTATTAAGTTCGAGTTAGCTGAGCATGATTCAGTTGCTTCGTGAAACAGGAGAAGTCCCTCTAGGGTTCTAGGACCTCACCTAATTAAATTTTTATGCAATATTGACGAAAGCAGACTATACATTGATGTGGGTGCAGGCAATACTGGCAGATCCTCAATTTCAAACTATACTCAACAGTTTTCAGCCATTTTGTTTGTTTTTTGTTAGATATCAAAGTTTATAAGACTTTCTCGACCAGGACTGGTTCCTCATACCATCTAGCCAAGCAATGTTCAGAAAAAAGTCAGACAGTTTCCATAGAAAGGAACTGTGACTTGGAGTCTTAGCAATAGTCAGCACAAGAAAACCAGAAACTCTCCCGGAGAGCTGTTTATTGAGCACAGACAAAAATGCTTCCAAAAATTCTCCCAGGGACATTTTTTGGGATACCGTATTCGCCAAGAAAAGCATGTTTCCTCGAAGGGGCGCTTCCTATTACGCACCAATTCATAACTTCATTATAAGGCAGCCTAAGAACATCACCAAAAGTGGGATCAGTCAGTGGCAATGATGCTGACGAGAAAACGTTAAAAGTGAGCAGTAAAAAGATTGTATAGGACGGAGGCTTATCCTGTGTGGGTTGAACGTGGTTCAAATTAGCACCCTTATGAAAAATCGTGATTCTTCTCGAATTCGGTTTGGGAGATGGCGCTGAAGGAAATGAGTAGAAGGAGATGTGTTTCCGAAAGCTTAAAGACTGTATGCTCTTCTTCAAGAACGGTCCTCAGAGTCGAATGTGTCCGCAGCTGCAGTAATGTGCCACTTTCTCCGCTCAAAAATGCACAGGGCTTAAGGTAGAGATCGAGAGCCGCCTCCATACTCCGCTCGCGCCATCCTCAAAGTGCAGTCGGGGTACAGCACGGGGATGTGTGAAATGGTGGTGTCGGTAAGGCAACCCCCCCCCCTCGGGCGGGAGGTTGGGGAGAGGGTTGGTAGTACACATCAAGCATGAAAAATCCACGAAAAACAACAGCCGGGAAAAATTTCCCCAACTGGCAAATTCTCTCAAAGGAACATACGACGCGCCCCCCCCTCCCCCCTCTTTCAGCAACAACCAAATACGACCCGCCCGAGTGCGACCTCCCCCCCCACCATGTGTTTCACACAACGATACTGTACCCTGAGTGCAGTACATGCGTCGATGACAAGCTCTCACTGCCAAACACGCGTTCAGCTGTAGAAAACCCAGAAGCGAGAGAGCGCAAACAAGTAGTGCGTTTGTTCATGGAAAGGTGTGTGGTTGGCCGTGCAGCAGCCCGTGCAGCAGCGCGGGCGAAGTATGGAGACGGCATTCAGGTGTCACAGTCCTCCAGCCCGTTCCCGTGCACTTTTGAGCGCGAAATTGGCACACTACTGCGGCTGTGAACCCATTCTCTTCACATATGGCAAGGACCAGGATCCTAGGAAGGGTTTGCGCATTTTGTCTTCAAAAAATGTATACAGGGACCTAGAATGCAGAATGGCGCTAACCAATGGAGAATTCCACTTTCAACTCCAGCTGCCCCTCTATCGTACCAAAGCTTCAATTGTGCCTCTTTTAAAGTCATTTGGCACGATAATCCCTAAAGACGAGTAGGATCAACACGATAGGCATGACAGAATACCGTGACCCTGAACAGGGGCTGCGCCCTTTCCGAGGAGGGTACCCTCACAGCGCCATACTGAGCAGCAGCATACCGACCCGGACGCCCACCTCGCCCGCCGCCTACCATTGGACGTATAGCATCACAGCACGAGGACGTGCCGTTGTGGACCGCCCGTGCCTACGTGTATGAACCGCCTGCCTTAAAGGCAAAGCCCGCGACCACAGATTGTGGGTAACGGAACCCACATAGGAACGAAAAAGGGCTAGGTATCTGATTAGCGGAGAAAAGCAGCAGAAAAACAGCCGAAAATGCCCTAAATAGGATTCCATATCGACCCCAACTTGTACATGCATGCAATGAAGAAAACGCATGTTTGTACGAATTTCCACTCGTCGTTATCATAAAGATATCAGCTCTTTTATCGTATCACCTCACTCTCACCATTCGGAATGGAGAGAGATAGCATAGTGGCTACTAGCTAGTAGCTAGCAGCCGGTGGGGGTCGGCATGGGCCTAAGGGGCGCCCATGGGCCTAATTGGTTAGCTTAAAGCGGAATTCTTGCCGATTTTCACTTTCTAAAGGTAGCGCAGCCTCCGCAATCTCCTTCCGGATCGTCTGACACATTTGAAAGGTCATAGCCTTATTTTATCGCGGAAAGTGCCTTTAACGTAGAGCGACGTGGAACGAACTGCTGGCTTTTTGCCAGCAGTAAACGGTTCCATCGGTAGGCTCGTCCAAAGCCAGCATGCAGCAGCAAAGAATACATGAAATTATCGTGAAAACTGCCTTTGAGTCTTTGAATCAAAGGTGAGATCCTCCATTGCTTCGCGGAAATCTGTACTCTGGGGATGATTTCCATAAACTGTCCTAAAGTGATCACGAAGAACAGTTACTGAAACGGAATAGGCGTGGCTTCTGAGCATGGCACAGAACGGGTTTCCCGTGATATACTTCAATTTGAAACAGCTGTAATCTTGTTCTGTGTCAGGTGTAGACATGATCACGACTCCTCCAAAATGACAAAATCTCACGAAAAGCTGGGCCGCGGCCATTTTGAAATCAAGTATGTACGCGGCCACGCCTACCCGATCTCAGGGATTTCGAGTATATCTTTGATCTCACACCTATGAGCAATGACGTTTTTTGGACAGTTTATCAGAATCTAACGGTTAACCTGCTACTGCGGTTCCTGGGCAATGTATAATCGTTTTTTAATCAAGTGAATAATTACCTGAGACGAATTGCTCAACGTGGGTTTCACGTGAAGTAAGCTCCTTTATAAAAAAGAAACCATGAAGGTTTTTCTTGTTGCGGGCGCTGGCAATAAATGAAATAACGATACAGAACAGTCTCGTTCGTTCGAGCGGAAAGCGAACAAAAAGGGGTTGAGTATGGTCATATTTTGACTGTTTTATGAATCTTTACAATGTCCTTACAGAACCGAAAACCCCAGCAGCGTCCAACTACTTCGTTACAGTGGCCGAACTGAAGAAACCCGCTGAACCGAAACCCTACACGAGAGCTGCTGGCTCGAATGTGATTAGCACTGAGGTGAGTTGCTTCTATACTGAAACAAGTTTCTTAACAATTGCAACAGGACCTGTCCACATTATTGCGAGGTTAAGATGCTAATCGAACGGAGTGCATCAACAGCACTACTTAATACTTCAACATAATTGCATGAGGATGGAATTGGTGCTTTGGTGTTACCTATATTGAAAAAGAAAGCGATTCCTCGCGTTTCCACCTCACTCATGTGGTAGAGAGAAATTCTTAGAATTCTTTCGGAGCTGAATGCGCTCATTATTTTCACTTTTTCAAAAAAGCACCTCATCCCATCCAGCGGTATTACCGGGATCGACTTTCTGCGCTGATGTTTCTGATATGAAATTGACCCCAGGGCCTGGCGACTGAATCACATTCATACCCCATCCAATAAGAGCTATTAACTTCTAGCCCCATCAAAGGCAGACTACTCCGTTCCTTTCCCACTGAGCCTTAGGCTGCGTTCATACGTTGTGGCAGCGTTTAACAGCGGCTAATAGCGTCCACTAGCTTTCCGAGCGTGTCAGCGACTAGTACAGTACAGATATCGATCTGGCGCCTGCCAGCGTCCGCCACCGTCTACCAGCGTCTATTAGCAATTCGTGGGCAAGGGAAGTATAGGTATTGATTGAGCGTCTACCAGCGTGCATCAGCTCTACCAGGATCCGGAAAAGGAGACTATGGCGCGATAGAAGGATAGCAGACAACTGGTAGGTATGGGGAGATAGGAGGGTAGCAGACTGCTGGTAGAGAGTATGGCGCGATAGGAGGGTACCAGCTGTCTGCTACCCTCCTATCGCGCCATAATCTCCTTTCCCGGATGCTGGTAGACGCTGGTGCACGCTGGGTGACGCTGACAGACGCTAGTTCACATCTATACTACCTGTGACCTCGGGACGATAGTGGACGCCAGTAGACACTGGCACACGCTAGATCGATGGCTATACTTTACTAGTCTCTGATGCTGCCGGACGCTATTGAAGAAAGTGAAGTTGTTGACGCTTTTGACAGCCAACCTGGGCGTAGACATCGGATTCTCTCGTCTGGAAACCGGTATTGGTCTTGCTGTTATGTTTGTTCTTTCGCCATGAGATTGCTAGATGGAACAAATGCATTTTTCTCCAAAGTTTCAAGCAACTGTTCTCTATCCCATCATTTGCTTGGCACCCTCTGAAATTTTCGATGTCATTTCAGCAGCAAAGAGTGAGAAAAGTGGGTCAATCCAATCCTTGAATCTTCCTTTTCAGAGTTAGGCGGAGAAAGTGATCACTTCTAACACTTCAATCCATTTTTGCATCTCTGATAACGAGAACAGATTGAAACATAGGGACGTCCAGCAACAGGGAAGTGGGGGGGGGGAGCATTTGGTTTTTCGCTGCTTTACATATTCGGGTATCTGACTCTGATGAAACCTGTGAACTCTTGTGAAGCTGGAGCAAGCTCTTTCAGTCACCACGGTCAACTAACATTAGCATTAGGAATGTTCTTTATCTACTCAAGTATTCAATTTTGGGAATTAATAACTGCGGCGGGGGTGGGGGGGGAGGAGACTAACGTCATTCGGATGAAACTACCATTATCGAAATTGGTTCGCCCTCTCCGGAGTTCCCGCCCTTTCAGACTCAGATAAGAGTCTTTTCTCAACTGCGGTAGTTCTAGCATTTTCACAGTGAGCTCTATACATGTCCGCGAGGTCTAGCGTCCTGGCAACCACTTTCTTAGAATGAATATTACAATGCCCCTTGAAGTCTTGTCACCTACGGCGCTACTGATTTAATGGAAGGAAGCTTTGACTGAGGATCTCTCTATGAAAAGGCATACTGGGAGCAAAAGTTATCGCAAGGTAACTGACAAGGAACTGGACCTCAAGCGAGACTCCAACTCGCACCTCACTCTTTTTGGGCTACTGCACTAGTCGTTATGCCATCGGAGCCATTCTTTTACACTCTCATCAATGACTTTTGTGCCACAGCCCTGCAGCACTCCCTATGCCGATATCGACTGAGCGGCCCATCACGGTAAACGTGTAGTTACTGTAAAGCTATGACACAAAACATCAGTTGAGAGGGTAAAAGGCGGCCTTGGTGGAGTAACCTGAATCGCACTCAACCGTAGAGCATAAGATGCGGGTTCGAATCCTTCCTAGGGTCGAGCCTTTTGCCCATTACTCATCATTTTTTGTGACTGTAGCAACAAATAGCAGCCCATATAATAAAACAACTGAAATTATGAGCATTTCTTGAAAGAAAGTTTAGACAGCTGTTTTCAGGTGACGATTGAGCCCAAACAAACGCCTAAAAAGCCTCAACCGCTTAAACTCAAAGAACAAGAGATGGAAACTGCTCCAGAAGAGCCGAGGTCAGTTTGTCTAAAGTACTCTTTTGACAAAGTGTTGGGTTGACCTCGCGTGTCTAAGTAATTGATTAGACGAATTTCAAAGATCCCAAATTTTGATCCTTCTCGTACTTTAACAGTTGCCTAAAGGTTTAATGGTGTTCACCATCCAATCCAATATATGCGTCGTCTCCCAAATATTTGAAAGTCGAAGATATATGGAAGCAGCACTCAAACTGCCGATATCGACTAAGCGGCCCATCACTAGGTGGATTTCCTCCATTTGGCCGAAAGAATGGCTGTTTTTGAATGGGTTTCAGGAGAGTTTTTGTGTTGACCTTTCGAAAATCACCACCAAGAGTTCGACAAGAACTCATATTTAAGCTGGAGAACTTGTATCCTTGGGGTGTAGTGCGGGAGATGCAAGTACCACCAGCGCAAACCAGCATTTCTGGCTAGTTTACTCGAAGTTGCACTGTGGCGTCAGATCAGCTTGGTCATGACGGTTTACTTTTTCTCCCGTTCATTTCACGACCTTGCCACAAAAATTCAACAGTCGTTAAAGACACGGTCCGCGATCAGGTACAGAAGTTGAAGATATAGCATCCGCAGGGTAGTGTGGCCCCGAGAACATCGTACGTTTGAGCAAAATATATGAGCGACTGTAGCGCAACAGATCGTGACGTCTCCTTTTTTCCAGTGACTCCGCCCCCCTACCCTGCCTTTAGGGCCCGCGTTTCATGCGTGAACCCGAGGACGTGTAGACGAAAGCATGAAAATCGTCACTTGTTGCGGTTTGTAGTGTTCTTGATCAGGGAATCAGCTGTAGGGAGGGGCAGCGTCAGTGTTGGAGTGTAGTTAAGTGGGCTCGTACAAACTGGGGTCGAAAGGGGTAATTTTAGGGCATTTCGCATGTTTTTTCTGAATTTTCTTCACTATGAATTACTCAACACCTTGTGGTCTATATGCAGACACCTAATCCACTATCTGTGATGGCAAATGATCGCGGACTTTGCCTCTAAACTTTTCATCTGTACCATTTTTTGAGGATCCCTGTCAGATCCCTTCACGGCAGCGGCTTTAATTATGAAATGTCATTTGTTCATTCAGTTCCATTTAGTTCCATTTTTTGTCATCTGTTCTATTTTCTGATTATTGGTTTTTTGAAATAAGGCAGTGATATAAGTGATATAGGACGTAGCATACCAGGACCTAATGGGCATAACGTCAAACTGCTGTCCCGAGTCAACTAGCCAGGAAATACTTGCTGGTTTGCGCGTAGGGCTGCGACTCAGGTCGCTTAAAGAGAGTTGGCACGATGGTTTCCTACTTAGCCTAAAATGCTAGTAGGGCGCTGTATAGTGGGGAAATGGCGAAAGAAGTGAAACGGTCAAAATCCTGCGAAGAAAAAGCCTCCGTTCTCAGTGACTTGTAAATCGATTTCGGACGAGTTTCCCGTAGGCATCTTACCAATCACCGCTACCGAAGATACGGCTGCATATGTACCCATGTATGCAGCATCACGGCCGCTTCATACCAATCCCTTCGCTTCATAATTTGCTTAGCAAATGAATGAATACGAGCGTCAGGAACGGTCGTCCATTTGTGGGCGGGCGTGGCGGGCGTTTGGAGACGTAAAGTTGTGGCATAATAGGGGCCTTATGAGGACACCTTTCTCGGAGACCACTACGCAGCGCCTGCCCAAGGTCGCGGAATCCTATCCTGCCAGGAGTCTTTATTGATCCTAGTCGCCTCCAGGGGTTTATCGTGCCAACTGCCTTTAAAGGCACAGTTCGCGACCGCAAATTGCGGGAAACGGAACTCAATAGGCACAAAAAAGTGCTAAGTATCTGATTAGCGGAGAAAAGCAGCAGAAAAAGCAGTCCGAAATGTTATAGAGAAAGATAACATAGTGGCTACTAGCTAGTAGCTAGCAGCCGGTGAGGGTCGGCATGGGCCTAAGGGGTGTCCATGGGCCTAATTAGTCAGCTTCTAGCGGAGTTCTTGCCGTTTTTCACATTTTGAAAGTAGCGCAGCCTCAAAATCGCCTTCCGGATCGTCCGACACATTTGAGAGGTCATAGCCTTATTTTATCGCGGAATGTGCCTTTAATTAAACTACATTGGTAATCAAGAAGTGATTGATGGTCTACTTAATCAGTAGCTCCCGGGAGTAGGACAAGCTCAGTGTGGGTGCTATGGTGTCAAGTCCTTTTGGAGTCCAGAGAAAAGTAGGCAGAATGGAAATCAGTGTGTTCGTGTCATGAGGTACACTCGAAACCCCTCAGATGGGGTAGACGTGGTTGCGTACTTCAACTAAACGTTTTGTGGCTGTGCTTTTGAAGAGATGTTTTCATTTTGACACAATTGCGGTCATGTCTCTGTCCAACACAGAACAAGATGACAGTTGTCTCAAACTGAAATATCCCAAGTGTAAGGCAGCGTTCAGACTTCGCGACGGCAGCGCTTCGGTCGCGCGTTCGACGCGATCGATGCAGTCGAAAGCATGCGCATCGATCGCGTCGAACGCGCGACCGAAACGCTGATGTCGCGAAGTCTGAACGCTGCTTAACCCATTCTATGCCATGTTCAAATGCCACGCCTACTCCGTCTCAGGGATGAGGAGTGTAGACGAAGTAATCTGTGGTTACGGTGTCCCATTCAGACTCTACTACACAAACCCACTGTTCCGTCCGAGCAATGCCAACAGTGCTTGGCTCTCGCAGATCACGACGTCAGTTGATTACGTTGTGTGCTTCGAGCCAATAGTTCGTAGCTAGGCTAGCTCATAGAATTGGCAGTGCACGGCCGGCTTTAGACAGCCAGCGCTACAGTTTTGTATATTGTGGTTTCTAACCAGATTATGTTGGTGTTGTGTGTCACATCTCACCACTACAGTCGGCGTAGACGAGATGTAGAGCAGTACTGATGAGGTAAGAGCTCGATGGTAACGCTTTGTGGCTTACAGTACTCGTGGCAAAGAGAGCTGGGAATCGGCAGCTGCCTACATTCGCCGCAAGAATCGTGACCGACGTATTCGCAATCGTACCATTGGCTCAACCGACGAGGCGCTACGGTAGCTAACAGCTTGGCATCGGATTTGTGCTTTGTGACTTATGTTCACTGTGAACCCTTCTTAGTTTAATGCATTAAAGTAAAAGTTTCACTTATTGATTACTTTTCAGGGATCTCGACAGGGTCACAGAAAGTATTTATGACGGTGAGTGCCGCCGACATCGGCGAATTTCTTTTATTTTTGCTAGTGCGAAATGTACACGAATAACTGGTTACTCGAACTTTCTCACTAGTGGAACTGTAACGGATTCAAATATACACAAGTCCTAACATCGAGCGCATTAGCGAATCCTAATCCGTGCGTTCCCACGACATAATGAGATAAACCAAGCCAGGAAATGTATCGAAATCGAAATATCGGCGCTACACTTCCCGCTGGGCTAGCTTGGCCATGAATTTTGTTATTTTTTTCATCCCGATCAGTTATGGCAAGAGAGCAACGCTGGTGTTCATCCTATGCACCTATTCCATACCTCATTCTCCCACTCTGAGAGACTCGCCTGTGGGATGACATCACCTGAGGGATGACATCACCTGAGGCAGCGTTCAGACTTCGGGATGAGCAGATGGCAGCGGCGCTCCAATGCTACCGGAAGAGTACTGGAGCGCACAGTCTTGCACGTGTATCGATAGACGATGGGCGCTAGTGCTTCGAGAGAATATGCGAGAATAGGAAGGTACGCCTTGCTTGAACACAAAGTCCGGTACTCTTTTGCTATACTCTCTATACTCTGCCAAAACTCTAGCGGCCGGCGTCAATCGATAGTAAACAGTGTGATTTGAAGAAACGCATCCTCCTGTGCTCCTATACTCTCTCGAGCAGTAGCGGTTGACGCCGATCAATACCGTCTGTGGCTGCGTTCCCGCGTTCGAGCGCTGTTGCAATGACAACGAGCGCTGACGACGCTCTGTAACGCGCGTCGACGCGCGTCGTCGCGAAGCCTGAACGCTGCCTAATTGGTTACTACTGAGGCATTGTTCACAGCCCACGGCCCTGAGGAATCGGTGAACTCACGACAAGAAATAAACATTTATCCACTGGAAGAATCGTCTCCCGCTCCGACAGAACATCGGCGATCTCGTCGCAACGCGAAATGAGCCAGATACATATCGAATCTGCTTTCACTTTTTGTCGCGCTCGAGTGAAGAGTTGGGGAGCGGTCAAAGCGAAGTTTCGCCCGCCCTGCAATCATTAAAACCGGAAGAATTGGTTACGAAATCCGCGCTGACTTCAGGAAGTCTCCAGCAAAAAGCACAGCAGGTAGGAGTAATCAGTGACAATGTTACATTCCGTTGTCGACGTTATCGACGCGGAACTGACTTTTTTCCCGACTACAAAACGCTTAGCCCGATCTTTTCTTAATGTGCTGACGAGGTTTTCAGATGAAATACCTTACTAAGACGGTTCGACTGGGTCGTCTTCATCGAAGACGAACAGTTATTATTACTGCAATGAGTCGAGTCGCAATCCGGCATGGTGCAGGGCCCTGCCTTGTAGCGCTTCCACCACTGGAGCCCTTCTGCTTTTAAATCGAGTCACGTACCGATGCATATGTAATAGAGCAAGGCAGCGGAGAGGGACTGGGCCATCCCACCCCCCTTCTGCGACGCTCCGCTTCCACGGATATTTGAGCGAACTATGTGTGGGAGAGTTCTTGGACCATTACTGCGGCGAACCTCGTCGAATCTTTCTTGATTCAGGGAAAGGAACTACGGGCTGCTTGGGTGGTATGATTGCCAGTCTGTACTTGATTTTGGCAGCCTTTCTACATATTGTCTCCCTTTGTACTAATATTCGAACATGTATGAAATTGTGCTCTCGATCAAATATTAATTTTCCAGATCTACCGCTTTCCCCCACATCACTAGGGCCGATTACTCATACTCATAGGAACGGCCTCCATTCTTACTCTCATTCATGCGGTACTTTTTATTTTATATCTGATGGTACTCATTTAGTCTCGGCAGGTTCGTGTAGAGCTCAGCGAGACCGCGTGGTTGTGGTGTAGGGTCCGCTTTGTCTATCTTCGTTCGTCAAGGCCCAGAGCAAGATGAGAATGTCCACGATTTATCATAGCTTTTATTGAGTACGTTTGCTTGTTAAGCGACATCGTTGTAATGCTTCAACTGTTACTGTTGTTTTATGATATTCGTTGTTTGACTCAGCGACTCGATAAAAGTTATCCCAAAGATGGCTTGGTAAGGGCAAGAAGGCTCGATGCAGGGCGGGGACTTCGAACCCTTACGGTACTTTTTGTGCCATGGCCATTTGAGCTGAGCATGAGAGGGCAAGAACGGTCCTGTAGCGTAACGGATAGCGCATTCTTCTAAAGGCCTGAGATGGGAGTTGGTAGTGTCCTATATGGGGTCAAGGGTCTTTGTTCAAGCTCAGTATTCATCGGGACTGAAATTCTAAGAACGCTTCCCCAGAATTCGTGGCTCTGATTCCGGTTACCCGTTTGACCGTGAAATGTGCTCTTTCATGCCTGATGTCGGAAAGTGGACTACTACTCATTGCTCTGTACTTGGTAGGAGGTTGCCAAGCAAAACCGTAACCCTTGTTATCTACCTCTTGGAATCTATAACTGTGATTTCAGCTCTGCCGGGCTCCTCACTTTTCAATTATGTTCGTCCGCGATATCATGACGATAGTTATAGACGACAAGATGAAAGAGCACACTCTCCTCCTAATCGCTACGTAAGTCTCCTTTTTTCAAGAAACGTAACATAGGAGTACTGTCTGACAAAAAAATCAATTCTCACGATGTTCCTAACGATTTCATAGAAGTAGTCTCCATAGGGACGACTGACACTGTAGTGAAGTGGACGCCGCTAACAACTGCCCGCCTCAAGCAGCCGTTCCCACTGCCTTTAAGTCTTCTCATCCATAAACCTGGAAAGCCTCATTCAAATAAAATAGAGAGAGAAATGTAAAATGGTCTAAGTTAAATAGACTGCATCATCACTAATGACCCGCTGTCAATGTCCAGGAAGCCTCCAAACACCTCGCATTCCTTTTTTTCTTGTGTTTTTCTAGCAGCTGAATAATAAAATAAATAAATATATAATAAAATAAATATAATACCGAATATAATGCTGTTGACGTCAGTTGGGGCGATCGGCGAGCTGTCCCAGTGATGGCCTTCTGTTGATCAAAACAGCTGAAGTCGCATATGATCGGCCTAATTTAGGGCTCAATCTGCTTCTCATCGAATTACCCCTGAATAATGCAGTCAAGTTGGGAACTGGCATTAAGATGGGCAGTGATGGCCCTCCCGTAGTTGAATGGTGGTCCCATCTGTTGGAAAGATATAGTGATTGTGCTGTAACACTGGTGGCAGGTGATGGACGAAATTGCAAAAACTTAACAAAATTCATTTTATAGGAAGTAGGCGCATTTACAGGGTGGCGAAATAATTATGTGTGCATGGTATTTAAAT